CACAAATGTATTTTAATGGGAAATGGATTCACAGAATTGTGATGAGATTTCTGAACACTTTATGTTAGTTGAATGACTGATGTGTTTTAGAAGTAAAATGAAAAGTAACTGAGAAGGGTGTAAAGTTATTTTTTGAAAAGCCAGGTATACAAGTTTGATGAAGAGAGCTAGAGTTGAACATTTGAATTTCAAAGATCATTAATGATCTCAGTGTTTGCAAATTGGAGCCCTGGTACACACATGGGGCTGCTTGCTAACCGCAGAGAGCAGTTCCAACCCACCAGAAAGATGAAGCTTTCTGGTCCTATAGAGATTTGCAGCCTCAGAAACCCTACATAGGGTCAATATGAGTTAAAATTGACTTGATGCAGTGGGTTGGGACAGTGTGTTCCCATCAAAGATCTCAGTATCATAACAACCAGATGGCTTTCATAGGATTGATGTTAGTCTCCCTTCTCCTTTTGGACTGTTGCAGGAACACGCGTCACAGTGACCTGAGTAAATGGATTGCAGCGATTTGCGAGTCTCTAAGCAGTTAAAAAATGGAACGAAAAGAAACCACTGTGCCCCAGCCCCAAGAAAGGGAAGAGAGTGAGAAGACTGATCTTACATTGCCTTTCTAGGGAAAAAGGAGATGCCGTTTTCAATACAATCAAATGGAATGGTGGTGGAATACTTTGATATTTGGATAAGGTTTTGATTACGGTGGTGGAGCAGTTAAAAATAAGAGTATGGTGTCAGTAATGAGCAAGCCATTACTCTGGAACACCAGAATTGGTTCACAGCATTTAGAACATCACTCCGAATATAATTTTGTTTGAGAAATAAACAGTTCCCTATGATATCTTTCAGGGTCTCTCCCCATTCTCCCCCCACCCCCACTAAGAATAGAACATGATTCCTTTTTCATCTTAGAACTGAATGGGAAAAATAATGTATTTGGTTATTCTTAACTTTGTATATGATTTTGCTCATTCTTAAAGGGAGTTTTCAAAATTGTGTATCAACAGTATTTTAACATCTTTCAGAAATAACTGGTAAAAAGGCCGCTGTAGCCATGGCTAGTTCTGATGCAAAACCAAAATCAATAAGTCGTGCCAAAAAATGGTCAGAAGAGATAGAAAATCTGTACCGATTTCAACAAGCAGGATACCGGGATGAAATTGAATACAAACAAGTGAAGCAAGTTTCTGTGGTAAGATTTATGCCTCTGCTGAAAAAAGCCAAATGCGTTTCTTCAAGAGTGAGAAGTACTAAAATAACAGGGAACCAGAGACCGACTCGCACGAATGCCTCCTCTACCTCTCCTGCTTTTGAGGGGCTGGCTGATCAGAAGATTGGTTCACCAGGAAGATTGCGGGTAGGAGTGGTCCCTCAGTTAGGAACCAGGAAGAATTACTCTAGCAGGGGTTCTCAAACTTTTTAAACGGGGCCAGTTCACTGTCCCTCAGACCCGTTGGAGGGCTGGACTATAGTTAAAAAAAAAAAGAACAAATTCCTATGCACACTGCACATATCATATATCTTATTTTGAAGTAAAAAAGCAAACGGGGCAAAAACACCCGGCGGGCCGGATAAATGTCAGGGGCGGGCAGCATGTGGCCCGCGGGCCATAGTTTGAGGACGCCTCTTAGTGTTTATTAATGAAGCATCTGTGCTCGGTTTAGGGAGCCTTTCAGGGTAGACCAGAAGAACAGGCTTTTTCCCCCTCACCTGGGTACTTCTGCGATTGGATGTTTAATCTCTGTTATGTTTGTTTTGTTTTGTCCCTTTTCTTTCTGTCCCTTGAATGGTCTTTTTCATTTTAACCATGAGTTAGAAAGGAATTGGGTTCTGTGTGGATTTGGGAGATTATTGTAGAAGGAGCCCTGGTTTTAATGATGCCTCTCAGACATTCGAGGGAGGTCAGAGACATGGCTTCTCTTTACAGATTAGGTCAAAATCTAGACAGGATGTTGATTTTAAAAAATTCACTTATTCTAGTGAAGGCTAAAAATGTATTTTAAAGAATATTATAAAATGTGAAAATAACCATAAATGCATTTAAATTCTTTGATTTGAGGTTGTAACCAAATATTTAAATTAAAAAAAAAAGATTTTGTTTGTTATTACTTACACAGTTTTTAAAGAGACATTCATTCATTTGAGGAGATTTCAAATGTGTATTATTTTCTTTCTTCTTCCACTCTCTTCCACCTTTGATCTTTACTCAATACTTCCTAACAAATGCAGGTAGGAAAAGGAATAGGACAATATAGAGCTACAATTGAACAGCTTTTTGTTTTATTTATACTCGACCTCAAAGTTCCACTCCAAACTGTGTTTCAAGGTCAACTTGACATTTATATGTGTGGAAAACATCCCACTGCTGTAGTTTTGTGCTGGGTCTTTAGTACTGCCCAGGCATCAACAATCAGCAGTGGGCAATTTCAAATAGGATTTAAATTTTAGAAGTTAAAATAATGTTTGAAAGCATAAGGAAAGTGATGTTTAGATTATTTGAATGTTTTCTCTAGGTCGCTGGGCAGAGATTTGAATCCAAAAATTAGGATCAGAGAAAAGTACTGACTTGGTCCTTTTATAAGATAAGGTTGCAAGGTTTGTTTTTTTTTAAGGTTGCAAGTTAAGAGGTGTTTTTTTTTTTACACATGTGTGTCAAACACTCTCTAAAAATCCAAGTTTTTAACTTTATGCTTTACTTTTTTTAGCATGAGTTGTGCTTGTTAGTATTTGATAGTAAAAACACATAAAAATAAGACCAATATTAGATATTTGGTTCTGTTTTTTAATCTGACTACAGGTGGACCGCTGGCCAGAGACGGGGTATGTGAAGAAACTCCAGAGAAGGGACAACACCTTCTACTACTACAACAAGCAGAGGGAGTGTGAAGACAAGGAAGTCCACAAAGTGAAAATTTATGCTTATTAGCCTTCATTCTGTTGTAGAGCAAAACAGTCTCTACCTCTGTTGCAAGAAATTAAAGTGATTTAGTGAAGCCAGTATGCCAATTGAATGATGTTTGTGAGAAACCCTCCGTGGTGTAAATCGCACATCGAGTGGAGGAGGAACGACAGGCACAATATTCTGATTGGCTACAGTGGATGAGGTCAGTCTAAGGTGGGGCAAAGCCAGGTGTGACATTTAACATTACTGATTACAGCAATGTCACTGGGCACGTGAATTGGCTGAAAGATAATGCTTGTCATTTCAGTGGGGGTTGCACGACTGTCTCCAAACAGTAGCATGAGAATGATGTGACAGCTATTCTGGGGAAGAGACTGTTAGACATTTCCTCGCGAAGAACTTCAGGTCTCCTGGAGATCTGACACACAGGGCTTGGCAAGGTTTGGAAGCAGATTTTTATAGTCGGGGAGTAATCGCACATATTCACAGAGCTGCCCCTAAAGCAACAGGTTTGAATCTGTGTGAAAAGTTAACTCTGCATGTCTAGAAGTAACCATTTTTAATTTAGGTCCGATGCTTCCTTTTGATTATGTATTCCACATCACTTATTTATATTACTACCCAATTATATTTTTAAATTCATTCTACTCCATATAAATGCCATTTAAAAGTAATTCCAGATATTGCTTCGATTTAATGTTTTAAAACCAAAATCTATGAAGTTTGATTTCCTTTCATCACCCTGCCCTGTTCTAAAATACAACTTCAGAAACATTGAAGTTGTAACCTTTCTTGAGCCTGCTCTTCCTGACCATTTTAACAGTGGTTGATAACCATTGTGTATAGAAAAAAAAATTTTCATATGAAACTTTGAACAGCCATATCCGGATTCTGTGGCCTAAGGGCATTCTCATGTCCCTGAAGTCATTTGCTTCTTGCCAGCAGACTGGAAATATCAAGCAATAACGTCTTCTTTGAGAGTAACCCTCATCCAGTGACCAACAGGGACCATGTTGTACCAGACATACCCCAGCAACCTCGACTCTCAAGCGGAAGATGCCTCAGGTGTGTGCTTTGCACTGACTCCCAGAGTTTTGCCAGCAGGATTAAGCTTCAATCCACAGTAATACCTGACTTAATATCCTATTATATGAGTGTCCTCTCTCTCCTTCTTTGTCACATCCTCTACTCCACTTACCTATGGTTCCTTCACTAGTACCAGCTCTCCTTGCGCCAATTCTGAGTCATAGCAAGCCCACGTGAATCTGAGCACAACTGTGCTCCGGGAGGGTTTCAGTGGCTGATTTTTCAGAACTAGACCACCAGCTCTTTCTTCCAAGGCATCACTGAATAGACTTGAACTGTCAGCCATTTGGTTAGCAGCCAAGCATGTTAAACCCTTTGTGCCAACCAGGAACTGTATTTGTTCTTTACTTACCAAGTAATCTACTTGAACTTCAGTCCATGTCCCCAGGTTTCTATAAATTGTGATGTTCACATGTTTAATCCTCATGCCAAACCGTTTTCTGGTGAAGACAAAATTGTGCTTTATGCAAGAATAGAAACCTCAAAATAATCATCAAGCTTCTAAGACTTATGGCAGCATAAACTAGGATGGCCCACAAGTATAAGAGGAACTCTACAGTGTTAGAATTCTAAATGTTTGGAGTGGCCCAAACTAGAAGACAAACCCAAATCCCCATGGGAAGAATGAAATACATATAAATGGTCCAAGATGTATTCTGAAAGTTTCCCGTCAATCCTTAGACTGAAGTGTGAGGATTGATCTTCAGTTCAGCCAACAGAAACTGACTGTGTAATTTTCCATTATATTGTACAGACTATGTTCATTCTAGAAAGTTCCTTTAGTGCTACACTGTTACACTTTTTGTCCCAGCAATTTGAGAGTAGGAAAATTCTACAAAGTCATCAATAAGAATAGGCCAGGGTCCTCCCCCATCAGAATTAGATATGTCATCTACAATCATTATATTGAAGGCAAAGAGGAGATTGCAAGTATCTTCCAGTATTGATTGTTTAAGGTGTTCCAACGGAAAAGTATTCCTCAAGAATTTAAATCTTCAATTAACCACTAAATTCCAGTATGCATTGGCCATTTATAGATCTAATCCTTTTTTGTCCTGTATTCTTTGCAACATTAAAAGTAAACTGATTTAAAAAAAAATCCTTAAAAAATCCTGGTTCTTTCTCTTCTTGTTCCATCTTGGGTATCTGGGCCTTTAGTGTTTCTATGCTGTTACATCTGAATTCTGTCATGCCATCCATGAATTCCTGTGTGGAGAACTTGCACTGTGTGGCTCCTCTAGCCTTCCACACAGTGATCTACATGCTGATGCTGTTGGCTGGAGTGCAGAACTGCTGGATACTATCTATTCCAATTTTATTTTCATCTTGAGCATTTTTATGTCTATTGTCTAGTTGTTCTAACTTCTTCCTATCCAATGATCCCTTTACACTCTCTCATATATAAAGTTCAGGATTTGGGGAAAAATATCTTTTGCAACATCTGACTTGCAATCATTTGAGACAGACGACTTACTGCTGTTTTCTCATTAGATGGTGTGAAGATCAGAAACCGACAAATTTTATCCTTCGGCAGTGATTTCATCTTGTTCCTGTTGGTGTCCTCCAGGCCTCTGCAACCGAATTTGTTTTGAAAAGAGTAGAATATTAGAGATAAATTGAATGAGAGATGAAGTATTCATAAAATGATAGGACTCTGAGGATTAGAAAAAAGGAAACCGATCAGGAAACAGAAGGAATTCATCAAGAGTGGCTAGGTGGGAGGCACAAATTCATAGAAAATTCCAGAAGTGGTAGGGACTTGTCCTCTGTCCTCATGCAGCTCCTAGAAATAAGAGGCCGTAGAGATTGAAAAATATGCTCACAGCTTAAAGAGCTGCAGCAAGTGTCCTCTGTGGTCAAGTCTGTAGTGAGGAAGACCTCTGTGAGGAGTTCTCTACAGCTTCCCAGTACAACTGGGTGTGGAGGTTGGCTGCAGACCACATAACAAAAGCACCATGGAGCAGAAGCAGCCACGGTGGCGGTGGTGTACCTGTCAGAGTGTTTTGCTTGTAAGGAACCGAAACCACATTGGCCGTCAGAAAGGACAAGGGGTGTCCCACAAAATAAAATAGAAAGTTGAAAAGCCATGCCTCAGAAAGGAAAGGAGAGTGGTTTCAGGAGCCCTAAACAAGCAAAACGATACAGTTTCTTCAAAGAGGCTGGCCGAAAGAAAAGATGGGGCTTTCTACTCCTGTAAGCAGTTACAGCCTCAGAAACTCACAGGGTCCGTTCTACTTTGTCCTACAGGGTCACTATGAGTCAGCATTGACTCGATGGCAGTGAGTTTTCAAAGAGACTGCATTATCTGGCTTACAAGTTATTATCTGACTGACTTACTCCTGGGATCTAGGTATCACCTAGCTCCAATTCAAACACCAGAAACATTGAGCATGATTGGTTTGACCAGGGGTTTACCAACCCATTAGCCAAGGAAGGGAAGAACACTTAATTGGCAGTCCTGCCAAGCTGGTTTACAACTTGGGAGAATCTTTCTCTAAGCAGTTCTCAACCTGTGGGTCATGACCCCTTTGGGGTTCCAACGACCCTTTCACAGGGATTGCCTGATTCATAACAGTAGCAAAATGACAGTGATGAAGTAGCAACAAAAATAATTTCATGGTTGGGGGTGTCACCACAACATGAGGAAGTATATGAAAGGGTCATGGCATTAGGAAGGTTGAGGACCACTGGCTAAGTGAACACAAGTGCTGTTTACTAAAAGGAGAGGGTATGCTGGCAAACAAAGATATGTGCTACAAATAATACCTTGAACTAAGTTAAAAACCTCTTCCAATTTTTCCAATTCCCACATCGGAATCAAGATTAGTATAAGAGAAGTTTTTCAGGAGAGCCTTTTCATGTTAGCTATTTGATTTGTGATCTACTACGCTAATGCTTCACCTCTCATCTGTCAGTTTGTAATACTGTGGTGGCTTCTATGTTGCTATGATGCTAAAAGTTATGCTACTAGTATTTCAAATACAATTAGTGGAGCTTCCAGACTAAGACTCTGAAGAAAGGTCTAGAAATCTACTTTCTGAAATTAACCAATTAAAACCTTAGGGATTACATTATATGACTTACTTGCTTTGGACATGTCGTTAGGAGGGATTGGATGCTAGAGGAAGACATTGTGTTTGGTGAACTAGAGGACCAGCAAAGGGAACATGAAAAAATAGCTCAATTGCCTATTGTCACATGACTTTCCTCCTCCCAGTCTACACCTGTGGCATCATGGGGTGTCCCCTATGATCAGTTGACAGGCTTTTTCTCTTGGTTGGTTGACCCCGAGTTCTTGGATGTAAGCCAATTATGTGCCATATCTCCTGCTGATTTTAGGAGCCATCAGCAGTCTGCCATCTGACATACCTTCTGAGCTTCTGACCTTCTTTTTGTTCATGTCTGGAGCCTGTGGTGTTCACATCCATCCTGGGGTTACAGATGGTTTGGCACCACATGGAGGCACCACTTGAAAGTGGACAGCAGCAACCCCCTTTTGGGAACTCCCTGATGGACAGTGATGAAGGAAAATCCTTTCAATAGGCAGAACTTAGAGCAGCAAACCTGGCTGTTCCTTTTTCTTGGAAGGAGCAGTGGTCAGATGTGCAGCTGTATATTGATCCATGGGCCGTCACTAATGATTTGGCTGAATGGTAAAAGGCTCGGAAGGAGTATGTTTGGAAAATTGGTGACAAGGAGGTGTGGGGGGATAGGCATGTGAGTAGAGCTCTCTGAATAGGCAACAAAAGTGAAGATATTGATGTCTCGTGGGAATGCTCACCAAAAATTTATCTCTGTAATGGCAAATTTTAACAATCAAATGGATAGGATGAAATGTTCTGTGGCAACCAATCATTGTCTTTCCCTATCTGTTCTTGTCCTTGCCCAATGGGCTTATGAATGAAGTGGCCATGGTGACGCGGGGATGTTTTGTGTGGACTCAGCAACACGGACCTCTACCTACCAAAGCCGACTTCGGTACTGCCCCTGCTGAGTGCCCAATCAGTCAGCAG